CGCCGGCCGCGCACTCGCCGCAGCCGCAGCCGCCGCCGCCCGCCGCCTCCGCCATGCTCGCCCGGCCGCTCGGCCCGCCGCTTCCGCCCTCCCGCGCAGGCGCGCCCCGCCCCGCCCGGAACTGCAGTGCGCGCGCCCGGCCAGGGAGGGCGCTGTGGGAGCGCGGGCGCGGCCCGGGGAGCGGGATGCCCGCCCCCCCCACGCTGCGCCGCCTTCCGAGGTCTGACTGCTTCGCAAATGCCGTTTTCATGGCCAGCCCCCATGTCTTCAGCAGGCTTGCATGCCGCCCCACTCGCTACGCCTCGGGGCCGCTCACCACGGAATACAACGTATTTCGGGGGGGATTAATTCACGGAGGTGCCATACATCGGAGAGCAACTCGTGTCGCATCTTAAATTGCGAGTTAGTATGCAAAGGCTGCCTCATGTTTATTAATACATAGACCTCCCCTCCAGGAATCTTTGGATAGGCAAAAAGTTTCAAATAAAATGTGAAAACGGGAAGGCACACGCTCCAGTTTAAGCTTCTGTTCTCGCGTATTCTCTCTTTAATGCTTCCCACCCTGTTTTGGTAACTGAAGAACCGCACGCTCCCAAAGGTCACTATTTTAGAAAACTATCCCCGTGCAATGGACCATCTGTTAGGAGTGCCGCAGGTGCCCAAATGCAGCTTATGGAAAGAGGGCACATGAGTGATCGATCCCCCACCCACATGCGGTTTCCACCCTCAGCTGAGGTGGAATAAAACCCCCACCACCAGGCAAAGAAGCAACTCCAGGAATGGTCCAGGCAAATACGAGCTTTATTGGAGAACTGGGCACCGTTTAGGAGTTGGCATTGGGGCCCTTCTTCTTGCCGAAGCCCGGCACGATGTTGACGAAGCGGCGGTTGTACTGCATGCGCCTCTTGGCGCGGCCGGTCTTCTTCTTCTTCTTCTCTTGCTTGGCAACCTTGGAGAACCAAATCAAATGGACGTTATCTTCCCGCTTGCTCAAACCGCAGGAGGAGCCCACAGTGCCCATTCCCGAGGGCTGGCATCCTGCATCTCTCTGATTCTCCACCCCCGCCCCCCATCCCACCTGCCACTCTGTCCCACGAGATGCCAAGAGGCCGACATTCTGAAGCAGCCGCTTCCCCCACCTCTGTGGCTCTGCTGGGGAAAAGATTGAGCTTGTGGTTCGGGCAGGAGAGATTCCCCAGCCAAGTACTGGCAACTCCAGCACAGACTGGAGCCAGGACTCAGGCCATCAGCTGCAAGGATGCCTGCACTGGTGTGCAAGGTGCTGTTTCTACCCTCACCAGCCCAAAACTCTGCCACCCAAGTGGTCATCTTAAATTCCAGGCAAACTCAAGCTTCCAGAGCCCCGTTCAGGAAGTCACACTTTGGAATATAGCAGGATGCTGACCCGTAAACCATGCATTTACACCCAGTGAGCAGCCAAGCTGCACAAGAAAAGCCCCCCCGGACCCTCCAGCAAGACTGTGGGAAGCAGACTCTGCTTCCTGTTCAGCAAGAGAGAGCAAAAAGCCCCCCCACCCATCACGCGATCCCAAAGGACTGGCGATCAGAGAGGCAGCAAACCCACAACGAGCAGGCTGAAAGGTGCGGACCAGCAGCTCCCCGCCCAAGCACATCTCCCTGTCACCCTCCATGTTGTACCTTTGGGGTTTGCCCTCTCACTTTTCCAGCACGGGCCAGGGAGCCGTGGACCTTACCTGGGGAGAGAAAACAGAAGAACTGCAGTGGCAGCCTGCACCCAAGGCGTGACCATTCCCATCAAGTGTGAGCTTAAAGCAAGCCTCTTCAGACAGAAATGGTCCCCGGAGCTTGTGAGAGGGGCGCGGAACTCCCCCTGGCTGTCCCTGCGCCTGCCCTTTTCCGCATGGCCTGCCAGCACACGCCACCGCCCTTGTGTGCAGGGAGGAGGCAGCTCACCCTCAGCAATCCTCCGCACTGGCCTTCTCACGAGTCTCAATTCAAGCACCATCTCTTGGCCCCACCAGGCCTAATTCAGGAGCTTCACACTTACCACCCAGCATGCGGGCAGCAATTTCCAGCGTTGAGAGATCACTCACTCCGCACTGCCCGATGACAGCGTCATCTTCCAGGGGAGTCCCGCCCAGGAGCACCACCTGATCCTCAGCTGTGATGCCCTCCAAGGACGCAATGTGGGCCTAAAGAGAGAAGACCAGAAGGCCTGCTGGGTTTCGCCCCACCCACCTCACTAAGACAGCCCCATCCCTAGTTGCTAAGGAAAGGGTGGCATGACTGAGCAGGGCGCTGAGTCTTATGACGGCTGTGAGGTGGTCAGAAGATGCCCACAGCAATTCAGGGCCTCACAGTGGAACAAAACATAACATGCAAATATGTTTAATGAAACTTTATTCCCCAGTATGTCTGGGGAAAAGCAAGAGAGACTTGTGTTTACTCCTGTCGCCTCCTCCTCGAAGCCCAGATGAATCTTTGAAAAGATAAATATCCGTCTGGACCAATGCAGTGAGGAGCAGGTAGGATGGGGCAGAGAGGAGATGAAATGTGGTAGAAAGGAGATGGACTGCATATTTTGTCGATCTCTTAAAATTTATATCCTGCAGTTCTTCTGACTGGCAGGTGATGCTGACATTGATCCGATTCAGACTAGCTTCGCTTCTGGAAACCACTGGTCCACTGTCCTTCATCAAGTTGGAGGAATTTAGGATTAAAAGGTAAGGAGCACATATGGCTTTTGAAGAAACTATAGCAGTTTCTTGTTTCTCCAGCAATAATCAGCAAAATAGGAGTTTCTCGAGGTAAGATAGTCCTTCCCTACCTTAAGGTGAGCAACTGTTTCTTGCCCAGACACCTCAAGGGTGTGCAGATTCTGAGCACGGATGAAGAGCTGCATGGTTCCGCTTGTGCTGAAGAGAGGAGAGCAAAATAGGAAGCTTTGCTTCTAATGCACGCACAAAAGATGGAGATCTGGCTGCAACATTCCCAGCTGCAGCACTTGCCTTTTGTCGCCTACTCCCCCCACCAGACTTCAATCCGCTCACTACCCCACACCGGCCTCGTCCCCCCGCGGCGCCCCACGCTCACGGGATGGGCCCCGATCCCTGGCGCAGGGGGGAGGCGAGCAAGCGAGACCCACACGGCCGCGTGACCGGTCCCTGGCGGGCTCGTGTGCTTCCTGCCCTGCCTCTCCCCACAACCCTGCGAGGCAGGCCAGGCTGGCAGGCCACGAGTGGCCCCGCGCCGCCCGGCCGGGGCTCGCACCGCGGGGCCCTTTCGCCCGCACCCCGGCCGCTCCCCGAGCCGCGCGTCCTGCGCGAGGGCCGGGCGGAAGGGCGCCCGAGGGGTCCCTCGGGCACGGGACCCGGGAGTCCGGCGGAGGGCCGCCCGCCGCGCCTCACCGTCACGCACCGATCCAAGATGGAGGCCGGGAGAAAAGGAGCCGCCGCCGCGCCGCGCACGCCGATGAGGAGAAGGGAGGGGCGGGGCCGGTAGCCGCGCAGGCGCGCTGCGGGCGGGCCGCGCTAGGCGGCCGCAGCTCTATGGCCCTTCTCGTCTCGCCGCGGGGCTGCCCGTGACGTCACCCCGTCGCTTTAGACGCGCGCCGGCCGATGGTGTCATCCGCCCGCGACGCCGCCCGAGGAGGGGGAGCGATGGCGGCGCTCGCCTTGTGCAGAGCGGGGCTGCGGGAGGAGCTGCGGGTTCTGCTGCGAGGAGGGCAAAGGCGACTGCCGCTGCTGGGGGCGGCCCAGATGGTAGAGACTCGCGGGGGGAGTTACAGGGGGAAGGAAGGAAGACATTTGGGGGGGGTGAAGGGGAAGGATGCCCTGGGGGGGAGCCTCCTTAATGCGCAGAAGTATTTTTGTTTATTTGCTCTTTATTGTATTTATGGCCTGCCTGTTTTCCTCGAAGGAGCCTGCACTGGCCTATAGAACCCAACTCTATCTTTGCTACAACCCTGAGAGGTAGATTAGGGTGAGAAGCGATGGCCGCCTCAGAGTTACCCAGTGAGCTTTTTGGTTTAGTGGGAATATGTTTTGATAGATTTATTTGTGTCATTGTGAGATAACATACAAATAATACAAAAACATACAAATAATGTGACAAAAATGGTGATTTCACACTGGTTTCTTGTGTTTCAGAGCGAGGTCTCGGGAGAATCTAGCTCTGCAGACCAGAACTATCCCGGGATTATTGAGTCTACCGAGGAGTATGTGTTTGTGGAGAGACTAATACCTGCTACTCAAGTACCAGTACCTCCAAAGCATGACCAATATCCCACCCCTTCTGGATGGAGGCCACCACGAGGTAAAAATGAACTGGTGGGGAAGAATCTGCATTTGATTTCTTTCTAGGCTATTGTAACTGTAGGTATAAAAAAGAGGGAGGAAGTATCCTAGCATTTGGGTGGGTCCTAAAAGGGCCTATAGCAGACCTCATATGTTGAAGGCTCAGCTGGGATAAATTAGTTTGAACATGTGCAGTTGAGAGTCAAGGAGTGTAACACTTCTGTTGCCTGGTGGGGTTAGTATAAAGAGCCTATAATCCCATGCTTCCCTGTCTGCCTGCTCCTATTATAATCTGTCAGAACCTCAGAGGTACAAGTACATTACATTATAAAAATCAATAGTACTTGTAAAATCAAGGTTGGAGGAGGAGGTCTGTGCTGCGCAGGTTTTGGTGATCTCTTTACTTCTGTGTTATAAAATGAGATAATCTGTAGAGCCAATGCCTGTTTTGATCATTCTCTCCTGGCAGATCCACCTCCTGACCTTCCTTACTTCGTACGGCGCTCACGCATGTACAACCTCCCCATCTACACAGACATCACCCATGGGAATAGGAAGATGACTGTTATCAGGAAGATTGAAGGAGATATCTGGGTAGGTGTCCCCGTTTCTTCTGGTGGGCTTTTGTGCCTCAGCTTTCAGAAGCAGCGTTGGGGTGGCTCACTCAGGTTGGAGCTCCACATTTCCATTTGGAGCCTGGGGACAAGGATCCTGTCACCCTGGTGCCCGTGGGCACTTGGCCCAGTAGAGGTACAGGGCCTCGATGAGCTCAGTTGCACCCCACCTGCCCTGCTTAGTAGGCTTTTGGCATGCATGTGTTTCGCCTTTTGCTGTCTGGATTTTTTGTCCTGCTTTCAGAAGCTTTCCCCTGTCCTGTTCATGTACGTCTTTTTAGAAATAGGGATATCATTAGTAGAGAGAGAGGGGTGTTTGAGTGTCTGTATGTTACCATATGCAAATTGGTGCATATTTTCAGCCCTGTGGGCCCAAGCCCCAGATTATTTTAGTATTTAGCACTGCTTCTGGCAGGCTTCCACAGGCACTGTAAGAATTTTCCAGTCCAGAATCACTTCCGCATCTGCTCAGAGTCCTGCCCTCTATGCCAAACTAGCTGGCATGTACAGGACCCCTGCTTCAATGACCTGCCATACTTTGCATGATGGAACAACCAGGGTTTCCATGTAGAATTCCTGTTTAAGCCAGGATAGGAGGGGGAGACTCGGTAAACCAGGACTGGCTCCAAGGCTCCAAAACAGGATTGAGTCCTAGCAAACGCCGCAAGTGCATTCAGCAGGTACAGGCAGTGGCATCTGTATCGTTCTGGGCCCATGGCGGTGGCACCATGAGGATTTTGACAGAAATGTGAACTTCGGACTTTTCCAGGCACTGGAGAATGAAGTGAAGGAATTCCTCACAGAGCTGTCTGGAAAGACACCACTCACTCAAGTGAATGAAATTTCCTGCAGCATCCGTATCAAGGGCTATTTTGACCAGGAACTAAAGACATGGCTGATGGACAAGGGCTTTTAAATAAAAGATTTGTGAGAGAACCTTGTTTTATCTTCTGTGCAGATTGACACTGGTCATCGTTAGGGTTTGTTGACCAGCGGAGTGGGGATAGTGAGAGACTAGAGAAATTTCTGGCCTAAGTGTGGCATCTTGCCTCTGGGGGGATCCAAATTCCTGATAGGAATAGCACTTTCAGGTGCATCATAGTGGTCTGCTTCTGATTCAACTATTCCTCTACCTACACAAGCCACAGTTCCTTATTAAGGAAGCTGCCTCATTCCGGCCGATGCTTGGTCCTCCTATCCTGGCGCTCCTGCCACCAGATGGCAGCAGTTATTCAGGGTTCAGAGTCTTTCCTAGCCCTGCCTGGAGATTCTGATGTTCTGGAAGCTGCTCTCTGCTGAAGAAATGCACGCATTTCTCCCTCTTCTGGGAGTCACCGATCTAATCCTTCAAAGAAGGATCTTTGTCAGGAGACTCAAATGCAGTATTCCAATTTCACTCCGATCTCACATTGTTGCTTTTTGTACGATTGAGAAAATACTGAATTTAGCTGTGTAATAGGAGAAAATATTACACATTACCTGAAGCTGGGACTTGACTGCTTGAGCGGCAGATGGCCCAATCGGACTTGAAAACCGGTATTCAACCAGTACATAAAAAGCACCATTGCTGTCAAAAAATCTATTTTATCTGCTTTTGTTTTCCTCCCAGCAAAGAGCCTGTGTTTTGCTAAGGGTGCAGTTCTGGGTAGCAGCCAACCATTCTTTTTACTCCCAACAGCTGTGGGGGCAACAGTTGCCCCCCATCACCTTTGTAGCCCCATTTGAACACCTGCAGCCTCTTCTCACATTTCATCTTCCTCCCGGCTTTGTTTCAAGTTTGGATGCTTCTGTGATCTTGAGTTGACGTAATAAAAGCATTAGCTAGGCTATCTTTACTTAATCACCTAGGGACTGAAAGAATGTATTCTTATCAGTATCGCTGTTGGCTTTCATGTCAGTGGTCAAGAGTGGAAGATTCTAGGACTTCAGGAGATGGTTGAATGAGAGCCTTAGGTGGGACTTCTGGTTGTAAGTTTTGGGCAGTCTTGTTTCTGCTTTAATACATGAGCAAAGTAAAAGGTATTATGTTATTTATGTGTAACATGTGAGAATCTCCAGTGTGAGAACAAAACTCCCTTTCGGTTTAGTCCCACTTTCCCTAGTAAATAAAATAATCAGACGAGCGATGTATTTGAACTCAAGTCAGAGAAAACTAGTTTATTTACAGTTGCAACACATAAACGGTGCGGAAAAAGTTTACAAAAGAGGTACTAGTTCAGAGAACTCAGTTCAGTGGAAATGGTGTGTGTGATGCTCTGTGTGTCCTGCTGCCGACGCAGTCCGTGATCACTCGGTCTCCCAGGGGATCTCGGGAGAACTGGGGCGGCCTCCCTCGGGTGCTGAGCAACTGCAGCTCTGCTCGGAATGAGTGCCTTCAGCACCTAACCTGCTGGCAGCAAGTCAGAGTTGGGCACAGATGGTCAGACAGCTCAACACACCAAACGAGGAGAAAAAACAACAGCAAAAAGTAAGCTGGGAGCAGTTCTGGCTTCTCCACGGCTGCTAGAGGAGGTGCCTGACGGTCCAAGCCAGAACTGGTTTTGCCTCTACTTTGGGATCCGCCAGAAGCAGCTGCCCCCGCCTCTCGGAGGGACCGCCCCTACCCCACTGCGGCCGTGTTCAGGTCTGTTGGTAATACTGATTGTAGTTCCAGGCATTCTGGTACCCATAGTTGCTGTAGTTCTGCAGAAAGAACATGGGAGCAGTGAAGGAAAGTTCCCTTGAACTAGAACATTTTCACTGCAGAATGTTAAACATGTTGACTGGCAGCATCTCTCCTACGCCGTTTCAATGTTCTGGATCAATTTTTAAAAATTGAAATGGAATTTCGCTTAAATTGGGAACATTTGCTCTTATAAAACCTATTCTAGAAGAGCCATCAATTGATAGCTTCTTCAGGATTGTATTAGTCTCGAAGAAAGACTAATACAGAGACGGAAGTAATGGGCGGCATAGAAATTTTATAAACAAACAAACAATCCTTTTTGCCTTTGAACTGGAATTCCGCTGCTGCACACCCCAGCGAAGCACGGTCGGATTTAAGAGCAGCTTTGCAACCTTTTCGTGAACTGGTCCCAGCGATCAGCTCAGGCCGCCTCTGGAGCCTCACCTGGTACCAAGTACTGTAGTTATACGCGCTGCTGGCGCTGTTGCCCACGTCAGCTGCCATCAGAGGTGTGATGCCCGTCGTTGCGACTGCCAGGTTGCCCCCTCCAGCAGCATCCTCCACTCGCATCCTTTTCTCATCTGCTTCATCGCCACTGCTTGGAAGTTTAAAGGGTGCAGTTAGCTAACATCCTGGAAGGGCGGTGCGAGTCTTTCCCTGTGTTTATAATCCTGAACAGATTCGTGTTGGAAATCAGCCACATGGGGCCCCACAGCAGCTGTGGAATCCGTGCTTACACAAGGTGTGCAGAAGCACACGCCCTGTCACAGTTTGATTGCCTGCAAGTCAGGACAAAGAAGCTTGTCCTGCTTTTGGAAGGTAGATGAACCACAGTATAATTGGCGGTTTTATTATTCCCTCAGGAACAATTACCCGCGTGTTGTCGGAAACAAAATCAGTTTCTGTGATCAGAGCAACATCTGGAACCACCTTTACTGGCCCTTGTGTTTGAACTTGTCCAGGTCTGTTGTACATCAAAGCTGTTTATTCGCAGAACAGCGATATCATCCTGCACACCCTGAGAGCATGTTCAGCTTTATGGTGGAGCCCCCCTTTGGATCATCCAGTACACGCCGCACCCACTTGTCTGTCCCGCCCCTTACAGCAAGCCAGCAGTGTCCGCCTCAATGCCCTCCAGAGGGTATTTACAGGAATGCGAAGCTCAGCACTTCTCCCACCCCAGAAGGGAAGGAACAGTTAATTGCATGCAATATAGCAAGCAAGTTGGACCAAGAAATGCCAGTGCATCTGCTGGTCTTGTGGGCAGGCAGCCCTCTGCCGTGACAGAGAAATTATTAACTGGGTTTGGAGGAACCCAGTCAGCCTGCAGCCACGTCCCTCTGAGGAGTCACCTACTGCCCGTCCTGGGGTTCCCTCTGCTCTCGGGCCAGGGCCTGGACGGCACGGAGCCCTGGGCCTCTGCTTGCCGGGCGTGGAGCCAGCCTGTCCCACAGGATGCAGGTCGGCTCACTCCCACATAAAGGCGCATGTGATGGATGCCTTACGGATGCAGCCTGTGCTGGCTGGCTGCCACCCCCATCTCTGGCCGAGGTACTGCACCAGCGAAGGCCCAACGCTAAGAACGGTGCATCTCGGGAGCTCCTCACCCATTTTCCAAGAGCCTCTTCCTCATCATCTGCTGGTTCAGAAGCTTCTGATGCTCGTCGTAGGATGTCAGCAAGCTGGTAACGCAAAGGGCAGAGTAAGCGCTGGGCTGGAAGACTGGCCCATGCTGTCCCAAACAGGAGGGGGCAACAGCTCTCCCATCGAGCAGTTTCGCAGGGCTGCCACTACCTGTTTATGCTGGATCCGAAGTCCTCCAGGAATTCCACCCTGCGCTGTGAGAAGATAATCTTGGTTTCTAAGGGGAGGCCGCTGGTCAGGGCTCGGTCAAAACTGCTCATGGTGTTGCCCTCGTTCTGCCGGACGTCGGCGCTGAACTCCATCTCCAGGAGGTTGGCATAGAGCTTAGCATTGTCCTACAGCCAAAGAAAATACACAATCCAGAGAGAGGGGCAGAGAGAATATTCCACAGACTCAGGGGGTAACACTTGAAAGAAAGAAGTCTCTCTCCCCTTGCATGTTAAATTCTGGACCAAAATGTGCAGCTCAAAGTGAAACATTGCCACATTTCGCTAGCAGCTTGGTGAGCCCACTCATAAAATTTCGAATCCTGTAAAATGACATTTTTCTGTGTATACTCATCTGTAATATGGACAATAACTGATTGTTTCCCCTTGCTCGCTCTAGTTTCCTTCAAGGGGAACTGGGGAAAGACACCTGCTAGGAAGTGCGGAGTCTCACGGCACCATAATAAAAACTGGCCGTGTATCTTTTCTTTTTTCTTTTCTCAAAGCCACATGAATGCACCTCTATCCAGGGAAAGAAATGCGGCCAAAACCCTGGCAAGTGAAAGAGGTACAGGGGGCAGGTGGCACGACTATGCAAAACGTGTCTGCACACATGGACCACTTCTCCCTCTCCCAGCTGAAGGACACTTGCGCACCGAGTTGCCTCGTGTGATACTTTGGTGGAGCTCCATTTGACTCGGAGGTGCTCTGTGAGCCTGTTTATTGAACAGAGCGGCAGTTGGGGGAGAATATAAGGGACCCACTTAGTGAAAGAATGGGAGGAGGTCCCAGTGGAAGGAAGGGTGTCGCTCCGTGGAAAGAGGCCTCTTTCACACACCCCAGATCCCATCTTTGGCATCTCCACTTGGAAGTGAATTTTGTGTCAAGCCTGGGAAGCAGCCGGAGCGCCGGTCCTTGTCCGGCTTTGCAGGACCAGGACTACCGTCCTCCATACACTTTCAGGCTCGACTCATCTGCTCGTCCTGCCCTAAATGCAGGAGACTAACGATTTGCACATCCAAAGGAAAAAGACAACGCAGGCGTCGGCTTCCCCCCTTCAGGCTGCTCTGGAACTCAGAAAGACAGCCCTCTCGACCAGCACTCTTACCGGATCCTTCTCCAGTGCCTCCAAGAGGATTTTCCGGGCTTTGATCAAATTCTTCTGCACCTTCAAAACCTGCCGGGCTAACTTGACTGAGTAGAAGGAAGAGACGGGCATCCCCTCGTTGTCCCGGATGGCTTCCATCAGGAGTGCCTCGGCCATCTCCATGTTGCCCAGCCGACGCTCCAGGCTCACGCGGCGCAAACGCACCATGACCAGGCCGGGCACGCATTCCTCGAAGGTCTTCAGGATGCGCCGCGCCTCTTCCACTTCCCCTGCACAGACGGGCAGGGAGGCACCAGCGTCGGCGTGGGCACGCCACTTGCGGCAGTCCGTTCCCAAGCCACGCCGGGGAGCCTCCGGGATTCCAGCCGTGACAACAGACGGGCATCCTCAAAACTGGCCGAGCGACCTCACAGGAATTGCGTTCGCCAACCTGGTCAGGCAGCATTTCAGGCCCAGTCCCCGGGGTCCAATCCTGTGATCCTAATCTGATCTTCTGGGAATCCCCTAGAAGCCCTGCCACCTTCCCCCAGCTACCAATCTCCTGTCTTCTCCCAGTTTCTGTGCCTGAGGAGTTAATTACTGACAACAGAAAGCATTAAATGAGAATATCTGGTGAAGTTTGGCTCAGCTGCTCTGACTTCACCCCCCTTCTGCAGCCCGAGTTTCTCCAAAACAGAATTTGGCCCACAGGCTGAAAGACATCCCTCGGGACTGGATTTTTTGAGCAATGCCTCTGGCACCACACACTACCCAGAGTCATAGCAAAGCTGGACTTTGTCAGGATAGCCTGATAATATATAGGCAGAAAAAGATGCATGGGGACAGAAGAATTTGGGCTGCCCGGCTGCCTCAGATATGCCAGGCCAAGGGTGGCGAGCGCGGACTCTTAGCCTCGCAAAGCATATCTTTGTCCTTCTCAACACCAAGGCTGCTCTTTTGTATGCTGAGTTCTGTAGAACTTTCCAGCTAGTCTGGGAACCTTCAAGACGGGCCTAGTCCTATAAGCCACAACCTACAGCGGCTGGAAAAAAGATCTGAGTAACTGGCCACGTTGCGTCTCAGTCTGGGAAGCAGGAAACGCTGGAAAGACCCCTTCCTCACCTTGCTTCTCCTCAAATGCAGCCCAGAGGAGGTGGACGTTGGGCTTCCGAGGGAGGTGGTAGCCGCAGGCTCTCTGGAAGACACTCCTGGCCCCCGTTATGCTGTGGTTCTCGAGGTACCGCGTGTACTGGGAGAAGGGGGAGCCGAAGGAGAAGGGAATGACCAGAGAGGCAGGCGGGGGGCTGAGGTACTCGGCCACAGACAAAGGGGCGAACGCCAGAGCGGCGTCTTCTAGCCTGCACTCCAGCTGGTGCCGCACGCATGTCCGACACACCCCTTCTTGCACTCCTGGGGGCACTGAGGAGGTGGATCGGTCTGGGGGCCCACCCAGTTTCATGTGGGTGGCTGGCTGGCTGGCTGGCTGGAACACACATGCCCAAAGCAGACCCCCATGCGGGCCTGTGTGTCAGCAGCACCAGGCCAAGCGATGCGCCCGGGCATCCACGGGATGCTTCTTGCTTGTGATATTAATTGCCACCCCAGCAGGAGCCCAAAGGGCAACGGAAAGGACCTGCCACACTGATCTGCCGTGACGTCGGGGGGACTCAGACAGGTCCACTTGGAAAGGGGAGCAGGTGAGGAGGACGCCTTGCCGAAAAGGAGCACGCACCTTGATCCAGAACTCCTCGTAGAGGGCGCAGGCAATAACACAGCGCTCGAAGAGGACTATGACGCGGTCGTGGGAGGAACTGGCGATCTCGAAGTCCAGGTAGTCCCGCCAGTTCCGCAGCTGGGCTCGCTCCAGGGGCTTCACATGGAAGTAGGGCCTCTTGATCTAAAAGGGAGGGCCACAAAACCATGTAACGGAGAGAGAGCAACCCGAGCAAATAAAAGCAGTTCTTGCTGCAGGAGATCTGTTCGCAGCACCCTAGTCCTCATGGTGTTGGGTTCTCACAGCAACATCAAGTCTCTCTGCTGGTCTGAATCAGGCAAAGAACTAAGCGAGTCGCCTCTCAAGTCACTGTTTGGAACCCCTCTGGCTTTTAGGGTTTTCAGGCGCTGACAGAGCGAAGGGACTCTGTGACCAAAATGGCTAGAAAATGGATCTTAAATAAAATTAAAATTCCACCCAAAGACAGGATGCTGTCACATCTGAGAGCTGCTGCTTTCATGTGCCACACAGTTCAGCCATACAGACCCCTTCCTCAAAATTCCAGCGCTTGCTGACTTCTGCCTCGTTCTGGGCGAAGATCTGTTGGCGGATAGACAATACAAGTTCCCGGATCTTGTCATTGTCCAGGGGTCCCTGAAACGCAAAACCGGCGGGTCATTTTGAGTGAAGTGATGTTTACAAGCACATCAGAACCAGCACAAATATTGCCTGCCAGATCAGTCCACAGAGCCTTCTACTGCAGCATTTTCCCTTCGACCCATGGGAAGTGCCCGAGCAATGCAGGACGGGAGCCATGTCCCATTTATTCCTAGCCTCTAAGCATGGTTACTTTCTTTTCTGCCTATAAGAGCTAATTGTCAGCCATGGACTCGTGCATCTCATTCCGTTAATTTATCTGAACTCCACTGTCCGAACAGTGCTTCAACCGGCATTGCTTCCTTCTCCACTTTATCCAGGAACCCATGCAACTTCCCAGAGAAAGCGGGAGTTTCCCTGGAGACAGCCAGAGAGTCAGTCAGTGTGGTGTTGTGGTGAAGCGTGTGGGGCCAGGACTCAGGCACCTGCACGCTCTGGCCTCATCCCCTTGCCCAGAGATCCCAGGGGCTGCTGGAAGGCCACCCGCCTCCTTCCTCTTCCCAGGATAAACGTCACAGTAACGGAGCGTCCAGCCTAGCCTCACGCACTGGCCAGGGAAGAGGCAGCTGCAAGAGACTCTTTCCTTAGTCCCTGCCAAAAAGAGCAGCTGGAAGAACTCTTGAAACGAAGACATGGGGCCAGACTTTTGCCGTTTTTCCTCCTTCCTCCCTCTCTTCCTTTTGCATTGTGACTTTTAGATTACATCACTGAAGGCGGGACCTGCCTTATTCAGAAGCTGCTCTGAGAGCCTATTGGCTGGAGCCAAAAGAGAAAGCACCTGTGTTGTGCAGAAGCAGGCTTTGGAAGGGAGGGCTCCAACCCCCCCTCCTCCAGGGGCAGCCGCGGGAGAACCAGCGCATCCTTCCCCTGCTTCAGGAACAGAGAATGGGCTACTTCCCACAGACTCGTAAAGCAGATAAAAGCCAGACAGAGACGTTTAGAAAGGCAGAAGCAAGCACTTGTTGAAACGTAGCAGCAGCTGGTGTTCTCAGGACAGACGGTTGCTTAATATTCGGCGGGCAACCAGGATGGCTGGCACCTCACGCGTGCGGCAGTTGTGCTCAGTGGGCGTGGCTGGCCAGCAGACGCGTGGCCAAGTTGCCAGCAGACGCGGCTCTCGCGCCTGACCTGCCCCCTCACAGACGGCACCGTGGCATGGCTGCTGCCACGCGGCATCAAAGAGCTCAGCTGTGGCCTTGCTCTGCATGCGGGAACCAGGAAGAATCCAGCGGGATCGACGCCTCTGAGGTTCAGAGCAAGCAGAGCGGCCAGCCGCACCGGCACCTACCAGCATTTGGCTCCCCTCTCCGGTCTCCTGCAGGGTGTCCGTCTTCAGGGGCATGTCCTCCCCAGGCGGAGCCTCCTCAGCCTCCATTTCCGTGGTCTTGGCTGACGTGTCGGAGACTATCTTAGACTGAAGCCACACCAGCTCCTCCGTGGAGAGAATATCTCTGGGTGAGTGGCTGGCCACGTGCTCCCTGAACCTGCCAAGGGGGAGAAATGTGGACGGTGGCGCTCGGCTCGGCTGAGCTGCTCCAGTGCCCCCTGCCCGGCCTGCTAGCCCTTCTGAAGCAGCCATCCAGTCCTTGTGAGGGGTGGGTGCCAAAGAGGAGGGTAGGGGGAGAGGGTCAGGGGCAAAACAGAACACCCACTCATTTTAGCGGAAAGGTCTTATTGTAAGCAAGCTAGGAGAGGCATTTCAGAGCGGGGAAGGAGGAAGCAGAAACCAGATGGGCACGTGAAACGTCCTTTCTCTGCCACCGACACGGAGCAGGCCCCCTGAAGGAGGCCCAGAAGCCCGTGGGCTCCGGCTGCCCCCAGCCTGGGAACTTACTTCTCCCAGTGATGGCTGTACAGCTGGGTCGGAGTGCTGAGCACGCGGTCGTAGATGGCGGTGATGGCTTTCAGGTCACCCTGCTCCCTCTGCCAATCCACGTACATCTCCCAGAGTTTGTCTGAGCGGAAATCCACCCCTGCAGCAGCCACGGCCGACTCAAAAGTACTGCAGGGGCAGAGCAAAGAAAGGGAACGGCACGGATGTCACAAGCGGCATGTGCAACAAGCTGCAGCCACGGTGGCCTTGCCCCCTTCAGGAACGGGCCGTGTTCTAGCCGGCCACGCCCTCCTCTGGAAACTCCGTTCCAGCTTTCCTTTCCAGCTGCCACCGGTCCTCCCGAACTTCCTGCTGACCTTTGCACAGGTATGCTGGCCCCAGAGATGCTTCCAGGGCCCCCGAAGCAACCGCAGAACTAGGTAGTGATCATCCTGGCACCTGAATAAAGACCCCGAACAATCCCCGCTCTTAACTTGGGGTGGTACGAGCCCCAGAGCTGCAGGTTGCTTGGTTACCGTGCTGCCGAGGTAGCTGGAGCGCCTCAGCGAAGGGCGCAGGGTATGGCAAGCTCCCCGGACAGCCAAAACCAACTCTCTTCTGCCTTCAAACGGGGCAAGGAACGAGTGGAGCCCTGCTAAATGACATTCCTGGGCCTGGAGGGAGGGCTTCCTGGCACAAGAGTCCGGCGCCTTGCCCTTTCCCCGGTGACCTCCCACTTTCAGCCGCCATCCACGCTCGCACGACCCACCCACAGATCTTCTGAGCAGAGTCTGGCAGATTCATATCCAGCGTGGACTGCAGGAAGGAGATGTAATGGATCCACAGGTCCATGCTGAGGGGAATGGACTGAAGACCTCGCTGGAAGACCTGTGCAGCAGCAGAGAGGAGGATTGTGTGGGTTGTACCGGGCGTGCGTGCACGTGCGTGCATCCTTTTCTTTCCAAGATTGTGGATCGCCCTTTCTCCTCGGACACCCTGGAGGTCGCTGGAAACAAACTTGTGCTAGGGAGCCTGCCCAGATGAGGGCTTTTTTCACATTCAAGATAGATCTGCCCTGTGCGATGAGACGGCATCGCCACACACTGCAACGCACTCGGGTCCGAAATGTGTTGCTTTCAGGTGATTTTAACCCCTGCAGCAGCACAGGGGTCCCTCTGCATGAGGTGGTTTGAATTTGGCAGCTCACGCAAGAGCAGGGGCACAGCGCTGCCCCCCTCACCTCCTCTGTCTCCTTGATGAAGTCAAAGCGACGCTCCATGTCCGCGTACTTCTTCCAGTAGCCGTAGCAGTAGGGGTACCGCATGAAGAAGCTGTCAAAGGCTTTGCGGGCTGCATAAATGTGATTCTGCAAGAGCGGTAAAGGGAAGTACTTTCGTGATATCTCAAGAGATGACGCTGGACACAAAAACAGCCTGGCACTGAAAAATGGGGGGAAATTAAGTAAATTGGGCCATGGGCATCTTCTCTGACCATTGGAGGTTTTGCAAGATGCCCCAGCCTTGTTTCCCAAGACCATTTTTCCTGAAGATGCTGGGATTCACCTGCAACCTCCTTCGAGCAAGCCAGGTGCTCTGCTAACTTCAATTAACAGAATATTCCCCTTTTTATTCTGGGTTACTTTTTAAAGCCGATTTGCTAACGTTGAAATTTGCGCTGCAATGTTTTAAGAACTACCCAGTTTACAAAGAAAGCTCGATCCATTAAACCACAAGCAGCAATCCAAGCCAGACCCTGGTCCCTTGTTTAAGAGCACAGGGTGGGCCGCGGAGAAGGTGCTCTGGGGCTGAATTCTCCAGGGGCTGCTCGAGGCGACTTCTGGGGGCTTCCTCGAAGCAGACGGACAAGTCCTCGGCCTACCTCTTGCTCCACATACTGCAACAGTTCTGTCCACGCAGTGAAGTCGAGCGGGTTCTCTTGAGCTGCCCTCCAGTAGCGCTCAAATTCCAGCGGGTACGTGATGGAGAGATCCTCCATGGGCATGCTGAGTGCAGCATGAGTCACCACGTCAGGCGCAGGGGGCTGGGGGGCTTCCTCCATAGCCGCTTCGAGCCGCAGGGCTGCGGCACTGGCGTCGGTGCTGACCCCGTTGCAGCCTTGTACTGGTGCCGCCTCATCTGGCTTAGGAAGCACCTCTTGCTCAGGGCCTGCAGGTCCCAGGAGCAAATAAGGAAATGAGAACCCCTCCATCCCCCCACAGATCATCTCGGTGACTGTCAGATATTAACAGCAGCCTCTTTTTCTGCTGTTCAGCAGACATGGTGTGGGAAGGGCACAAAATGCCATGATGAGTCCGGCGTTCCCTAGCCTAACATTTGACAGGGCAAATCATACCAAGAAGGAAAGCCGGCTTCCCCCTTAAACCTGCAGACAAAGCTAGTGCTTGCCAGCCCTGCTTCCCAAGCACATGCTTTCTGGGGGACGAGTTGACTCTCCACCCTTGGGCACTAGGCAAATCAAAACTGCCCTCCTCTTAGGGGAAGGGGCCAGAGCCACGCCGCAGCCGGCTGACCCATGGTGCCGCAGCCCACTCCCCCACCAGAGCCTAGGCTGCAGCTCCCGCATCTAGAAGCGGTCCGTCCCTGCAAGGACCGGGCACCAGCGGGCGGGGGAGCACGGCGGATGGCCCTCCCGCACGCTCTGCTGCGACATCCTGGCTGCCCGTGCACGGAAGCGGGGCCGGGCTGGGGGCAAGCCCAGGCCAAGGCACTCGCCGCCCGGCCATGCGCACCGCACCGGCTTCCCCGGAGGCAGCATGAGAGCCGGAGCCGGCCAGAAACCGCCCGAAGGGGGCGGGCCCTTTGCAGCATGCCCCAGCGACGGCTGCTCTCGGCGGCCCGCCTCCCCGCGCTGTCCCGCATTGGAAGCTGGGCCCTGGGCTAGGCGGAGCCCCCCCCCCCGCCCCGGAGGAGGTCCGGTGCGGCGAGCCGGTCCTGCCCCGCTGCCCACGGGCGCCGCGCTCTGCCCCAACCCTTCCCCGGCCCCGCAGCCAGCCCGGCCAACTCCTAACCGGCGCGGTCCACAGCGGCGGCCTCACCGGCCGCCTCTGCCCCCGGGACTGCCTCGCCGCCTTCGGTCCCGCCACGACCGGGGCTGGCCGGCGCTTCTGGCCCTTCCGCCGCCATCTTGATGCGGGCCTCCCTCCGCGCCGCTCCCGCTGGGCCGCACTGCGCCTGCGCGGCCGCGGGGCCGGAACAGGACGGGCGGCATGGCCGTGGCAGCCATTGGCCAGAAGCCCGGGACACCCCCGGAAGCCCACCTAGAGTTGGGGAGCAGAGACGCGCGCCGCGCCGGGCTAGAGCGGCTGCGGCCACCGCGCTCTTCCATAGACTTGCGAAGATAGAGGCGCGCCGAGGGTCGGCTCTCGGGGTGCATTTGGGCACTAGCTTTGTCCCTCCCTGCCCCGCACAAAAGTTCTCAGAAGGAAGAACTGCAGTTTTAATTTTAAAAAGTTTCTAGGGTCCAACCCTGTGCACCTTGAGACAAAGAAAGTTCTACAGCTCCCGATATTCCCCACTCAGTTATGCTGAAGGACATCTTCTTAATTTCTGCTTTTATATTGTAATGTTATATAGTCATTATTATTTTGCATTTTAATAGAAACCGTGTTCGGAGGTTAATAGATGAAAAGCATCACCCCATGCAACTTTTTCAAGTAATTACTATACTGCCCAACAGCCAAAGCTGTTTAGACATTAAAAGGCCTGCAACTCACGCCGTCCTGCATGAAAAATGCAAGCATCTCCAAATTCTTTGCAATCTAGTATTAGAATTCAACAGGATAGCCCACTTCTGCGTTAAGTAAATGGAAAACGAGACGTCAGTATCCACTTCAGCTCCGCAAACCTGGCCCCACGCCAATTGGGGTGCAATCTCCCTAACCGGCCCGCCAGCGCCCACCAGCCTCTCCGCGCAGCCGCGGAAGCTCCTGGCGAGGCGTGGGCGGGGCCCGGCGCGGCGTCATTTCCGGGCAGGGGCGCCCGCGGCGCGGAGGGATGTTTTACCACGTGAGTCGCGCGCGGAGCGCGGGGGCCGCTGCCCTCCCCGCCCCCGCCCCGCGTGGGCCGGGCCGGGCCGGGCCGCCGGGGGCTGCGGGGCAGGGCTGCGCGGGGCCGGGGCTCGGCGGCCCTTCCGCGCGGACGTTCCGCGCTCCGGCCGCTCCACGGGCAGGGCTGACCCGCCTCTGGCCGCCGGGAGGGGAGGGGAGGGGAGGGGAGGGGAGGGCCGCCCGGCCAAGGGCGCGTGGGCTGGGCGAGCGGGGGGCGGTGCCGGCGCCCCCAGGCCGGCGGGCGAGTGCTCCCCAGCAACCCCCGGGCCGCCGCAGGTGGGGGCTGCACGGCCGCCTTCGGGGTCCTGCGGAGGACGCAGCGGTATCCTCCCTCTCCCCCCCGCCCCCGGTTTTCGCCGCCAGATCTCCTTGGAACATGAAATCCTGCTGCATCCCCGTTACTTCGGGCCCAACCTGCTTAACACAGTGAAGCAAAAGCTCTTCACCGAGGTGGAGGGGACCTGTACGGGCAAGTAAGTAAGAGGGTGGATTGGGCCCCTTTCTTCCCAGTGTTTGCGGGTGTCGACCAGCGGTGGCCTGGAGGAAGACCAGTGTGGAGCCCAGCAATGTCACCGTGGAGACCACGTGTGCCCACGTGAGCTTGGGCAATCCTGTCCTTGCAGCTGAGGAGGGGGCAGCCCCATTATGGCCCTTTCGCAGGTGGCGCTTCCCCTCCCCTGGGATGCCTTTCCAGGAAAGCACATCTGGTATGGATTCTTGTATTCCACTCTCACAGTCTGTCCAGATCCTTTTAGATCCGGAGAACCATCTCCCCAGTTGTGGCCAACCCCCCCCTTTGGTGTCATCTGCAAATTTGTCAGTAGACTGGTCCTTCCTTCCTGCAGGGTGTTCGTAAAACAGTTTTAAGGCAGCATCAAGAATGCCCCGCCTCACCCACGCATCCATGAGGGCGTGTGTCTAGGAGTGCAGCCTAAAGAGCTGCACTGACACATGGTCATTCGCTGTGCGTCCCCAGAAAAACTGGAATTCCCTCATGATGCATGCCACCTGCAGGCATTTGGTGCCTAGGATTGTGTGTAGTGCTGCCTACATTGAGAACGTCTACAGTTCGCTGAGGTTTTCTGGGACATATCCTCCTGCAAGGAGTTCCACACTCTGACCCTTGAACATTAGGGGAAAAGGAGTAAATTCCCCAGATTTTGTACGTAAAGGAAAGCACTATTTATTCACCGCCATCCAGTCCTCACGGCCTGTTTCCCCACTCCACATATGACATGCCTCCCCAACCCACTCTCCAGGTATGGCTTCGTCATTGCCGTGACTACGATCGACAACATCGGGGCAGGCGTGATCCAGCCGGGCCGGGGCTTCGTCCTCTACCCGGTCAAATATAAGGCCATCGTTTTCCGGCCTTTCAAGGGGGAGGTCGTGGACGCCATGGTGACCCAGGTGAACAAGGTGAGGTGCGGGCACTGCGGGAGGGTGGGGACATGCATTGCCTCTGCCGTGCAGGGAGATGCCGGCAGGAGGTGGGTGCAAGAGGGGCGGGGGCTGTCACGCCGCTGAAGAGGGCTCAGTGACCAGCAAGGGCATTCACCCCACCCAAGGCCCCCCTCCCCGGGTGGCCACGTCAGCAGCTCCCCGTTCTGCTCACGCTCAGGGTGAATGCTCCTGATGCGCTGCTCTCTCTCCCAGGTGGGGCTCTTCACCGAGATCGGACCCATGTCCTGCTTCATCTCGCGGCACGTAAGCGCTGAGCTCAGCGGTGGGCACAGGGGGCCGGTGCAACTTGGAAGGGGACGGATGAGGGCAGGGAAGAGTGAGTGGGCCACCCCGGGGCCAGTCCCAGCCTGAGGGGCCCGGGGCTGTGTGCCTTGCCAGCTCCTGGCCCGGTCCTTGCACTGCTGTCGGTGCCGAGCCGGGCTGCCTCCGGGTCCGTGGCTGGGCCGGGTGCCCCTGCTTCGGCTCCCCGGTGAGCCCCGGGGCTTTCAGTCCTGCCGCCCTGCCCTGGGCTGTGAGCCAGACTTGCAGCCAGGAAACCCCGGGGCTGCAGGCTCCGGGGCCTTTTGCACACACAGCTGACGGTCAGCCGCAGCCCTGCCCGTCCTCTGGCCACTCACTCGCTTTTCCTCCTCTCTGCAGTCCATTCCCTCCGAAATGGAATTCGACCCCAACTCCAATCCGCCTTGCTACAAGAGCGTGGACGAGGTCAGTTTTCCCGCTGCGGCAAGGAGGGGCCGCTTTGGGGGCTCGTGCGGAGGGGGCTTGCGGTGGGGTCGTTTGACTACCCGCCCGGCTGTTGCCGCATCCCAGCCACTCCCCCTTCGCCGCTTCCTGGTCTTTTCTCCCCTTCCACCCCGTAATTAGGCCAATCGGCTTTCTGTAACCACGAGTACGGGGTGGTTTTAGAGGGCCCCTTGCGGGTTCTTCCCAAGAGGGCTTGTGCATCTGCCGCCCTTGAGGTTCTCCAGGCCAGCGGATGTCTCCTGTCTGTTCCTCGGTGGTGCCTCCTCGGCTCTCCCGGCTTGAGCGTTCCCAGGAGAAGGATTCTGTGTAGCCACACTCGGCGCTGCCTGACGCTTGTTCCCCTCGCCCATCCGCAGGATATCGTCATCCAGCAAGATGATGAAATCAGACTGAAGATTGTGGGGACGCGAGTGGACAAGAACGACATTGTGAGTTCGTGTGCGGTGTGCGTGTGGGGCCTTCCTCCACTTTCCTGGCTGTTCCGTGTGTGCATGGGAGACTTGGGGCAGCTGTTGGCTGTCCGGAGGTGTGGCCTGCAGCTCCCATCAGCCCCCTCCAGTGGCTGCGTTGGCAGCGCTGACGGGAACGGTAGTCCGGAGCACCTTCGAGGCCTGCGGCTGCTCGGTCCCGGAGTGGACAGTCCTGCAGAACAAGGCCTCCGGTCCCAGGGATGGAGCCAGTGAATGGCCGGGGGAGAAACAGAAGGAGACCTTTGCTCCTCCATGAGCTGCTTTGTCAGTCTAAGGGAGACGTTTCCTACCTTTCCACGCACCTTCCCTTTCTTTCCCACCTCCTCCCCCTTTCCTGGTACTTTTCAGCCCGTAATTTGGCTCCCGCTCCCTGGCAACTCTGCAAGCGAGCCAAATAGCAAGCTGCCTCTTCAGAGCTGCCTCGGATAAGCGGGCGGGTTGAGTGCGTTGACCAGGCCGGGCAAGACGCCCAGGACGGGCAGGCAGTAAAGCTGGCTGTGGACGCAGCTGGACATCTCCAGGGTTTGGGGAAAGAGAACCGGCTGTGCTTGCTGAGGTTCCTGGGTGGAGGCAGGAAGGCGGGGGGAGGAAGGGGGCCGCGCTTGGCCCGCGGGGGGCGGGGCGAGGGGCTCAGCAGCGGGGGAGGCAGGGATCCGCGCCGCAGCCGGCTGGAGGGCCGAGGGGGCCCCGTGGGGCGTGGGCGTGCTGCGGGTTCGCCCAGCGAACGGCCAGGCCTTTGGGGCTTTTGCAGCGTGGCGGGAGAGGAGCTCTCACCCCTGTCTTCGGCTCCCCTCCGGGCCCGCGTAATGGGGGGCATGCCACTGATGCCGAACGCCCTGGGTTGGACAGGTTCCTTCCCGTTCGACACTCCTCTCTCATTTCTGCAGTTTGCTATCGGATCGCTCATGGACGACTACCTCGGTAAGCTTTGTGCTTCCCTGGGCATGGCCGGATGGGAGGGATCAGGGCCACAGTCCTCCCGGGACTCTTCGAAGTAAGCGATTAGGAGAGCAGGCCACCTGGAAAGAGCGGGTGCTTGGAGGGGGCAGGCAAAGGCCGTTGAGCCGCCCAGACGAAAGTTTGGGGGGAAAACCCTCAGGATGATAGAGTGGAGCGGGACGGGGGGACTCGGCACGTGGGCTCAACTTCTCCCTTGCACTGGAGCCCGGAGACCCAGCTGGGTCAGAGCAGAGGGTGTGTGACAGTGTGGCCGGAGGGCAGCAAGGTTCAGTGAGCAGAGCCAGCCGCCGTGCTTGGCGCCCTCCGCAAAGCGGCTTCCCAAAGAGGCATCCTTCTCCAGGAGCTAATACAAAATTCCCAGACCGGCTCGCCAGGCTTGGCTCCCGTGGGGATGCTCCTGCCAAGCAGCAGGCGTTGAGTTCCACGGGCCCGCTGTGCCGGCAGCGGGCCAAGCAGCGTCTCTCCCGCCTCTTGCAGGCCTCGTCAGCTGAAGCGTCGGACCTGCCACCAGCTGTTCCCTCCGTGCGGGCAGCCAGAGAGGAGCAGGCTGAAGAGGCCGGCCTGCGAATTCCCGGCTCCTCCTCGCTCGGCAGCCGGGACGGGAAGACCCGCCTCCGCTCTTTCTGCATTAAAGAGTCCTTGCTACAACCCCGGGCAGACTCCTCCCTTGCGCCCTGACCGCCATTCCTTCCCTGGCTGGCTTACGTGACCACGCAGGGAGCCAGCATGGCCCAGCCGCTCACAGAGGTGGCCCCGGCAGGCTGGGGGGACCCCAACATCTGCACGGCCTCTTCCGGGGCAGGGGGACTGGCTGGCACGGTGCCTCGAAGGGACCGGGCCCAGGACGTGGGCTGGCTGCGGGAGGGCAGCAGGGGCCCGGGTGACGGCACGGATGGGGCCTCCGGGGGAAGGCATGGCTGAGTGACCTCCTGCTCCGAGGCAGCAGCCGGGTGGGCAGGACGGGAGCTCAACGTGGCGGGTCCTGCCGCAGCTCTTCCATGAGTGAGAAGAAAGACCCCCCCCCAGCAGGCCCCCGGGGAGACACAGGTGTGGCTCAGCCCTCGGGGTGTGCTATGCAGGGAAGCTTGGGGAGCCGCTTCTAGTCAGGAGCCCCGGGGGGGCGTGCCCCCACCCCCGTGGTTCTGAGCTGCGGCTTCCCCCACGCGCATCTCGGGCGACAGGCCTTCCTTTGGCAAAAAGCTCCCCATTGGCTCAACGAATTCCAGCAGATTGTGACTCTGAGCGTGCACAGAGCAGTTCTGCTCCCGCTGCTTGGGGAAGCCTTCCGCTTCCATGTGAGGGTGTGGGCGCGATCCCTATGAGGGGCCACGTGGAAGCAGGCACTGGCCTCCTGCTGGGCAGCTGTGCGTGGGGCCGAGCGGCGCTGCAGGTTCTCCTCCTTGGAGAGCGTGTCCCCTGGGCCCCAGGGCGCATCCTGGCCACCCAGAGCACCTGGGGAGGATGGCCGTGCGACCAGCACCTCCACGCTGCTCATCTCTGCGCCATGCGCCCCACATTCCCAGCCCCCCCGCCTCGTGCTTAGACTCCGTCCAGGCTGGCGAGGAGGCTGCTCCACGAGTGATGGCCCCCCTCATTCCCAAACCCCCTCCCTGCAGTTCTACTTCCGCTGTCCGTGGGTCACCCTGGGAGAAGTAGAATAGGGGTCGGTCGGGGAAACAAGCCGGCAGGGACAGAGCGGCGTGTTCTCTGCTGTGTTCGACAGCCGCTAGTTGCTTCTGCTGCGTGCTGGGCCACCACTGCCCATCAGGCACTCTTTCCAGGAAGTGGGGGATTGAACACGAAGAGGAGAAGCGTTACAGTTGGGGGGGGGAGCCTGTGGGGGCGCACGCCTCGTGGCCGGTCAGGCCGGCCCCGGCAGCGCAACCGGACCGGGCAGGGGCTGAGCCGGGCTGTCCCCGGGCTGCGCTCCCCGAGGGAGGCAGGAGGGCTGCCGAGCGGTCTGGCCCTCGACACCCCAGGACCCTCGCTCCGTCCTCTTCAAGGGGCCGGGAGCAGGTGGGAACGGGGCTTGGGGGACTTGCCATGCTAGTGGCCAGGCCCAGGCTGGGGGCCACCACACCGGGCCTTGCGCCCTGAG